CTCTCTCTCTCTCTCTCTCTCTCTCTTCTTCTTCTTCTTNTCTTCTTCTTCTTCTTTTCTTTTTTCTCCCTTCTACCTATCCTCGTCTTAATCGTTAAACCACAGGGAAGGAGAGAGGGGCAGGGCAGAGACGGATCTGAATTACTTACAAATAAGTGGCGATCTCGGATGTTCTTAAACTGGTATTGAAAGCCGGAGAGTTATCGGGGGGATACGAAGAGTGGAGAGCGCTCTCGTGGCTTATTGAATTACAGAAATTAAAGTTCATTTGCGCCGGAGGAATGATATAACTTTTGATACTCGTTGGGAACCGATTCATGTATAAACCACCTGAAAACCGTTTCCGTAGTACTTTCTATATAACCAGCCACCACAACCACCCCATCGCTCGTTTCCCCTCGATCGATAGAATCTTGGTCGTAATTCAACACCCTCCTCCTCCCCCCGCGGATAGAAAATTTTGGTGGAACGACGCGGTGTATAAGAAGACAAAAAAAAAAAAAAAAAAAAAAGAAAAAGAAGGGAAAAATGTAAATTAAAGTACAAAGGGCACAGAGCGTGTATCGCGATTGGCCGTCGTTTAATCGTGTATAGGACACGCGACACGTACGTCGCGTGATTTAACAGTGTAATGCTAATTAATTACCCTGGCGGAAAAGAAAATGGGATCTCGTAGTAGGCCTCGACCCTCGAGCGATTACGACTCAACTCCAGCGGAAGGGTTGGAACCCTTGATTTTATTGTCCGCCCACCACTCTCTCTCTCTCTCTCTCCTCCCCCCTTAACTACTCTGCCCGCCGTCGTCCTCCATTCCTTCCTCTCCTCGAGCCGTCGTGGCCTCTCGTCGTTTCTTTTTCTCCTTCCTTTCCCTTTCGTCGAGTGTTACCGGTTGTTACCCGCCGCTAGAAAAGTTTCTTCCTTCGTATATATTCGGTTATGTCTCTTCGTGTGTGTGTGTGTGTGCGCGCTCGCGCGATCGACTGACCCGCGCAACAACACTGACCAGAAGAAGAAAGAAAGTGTTTCCGTGGGCCGGAGGTCAAGGCATCAGGTCAACCCACTTGAAAGTTGATGCTAAGCTGCTTTCTCTTGTCGAGCCTTGTTTAATACACGTTTATGCATATTATTCGTAATCGTATAATGGAAGCTAATTGGAGATCCACAGACGAATATTATAATTGTATTATGACTAATTAATCATTTGTGGATTATAGGAATGTATCACGTTGCGCCTAGCAATAAGAATAAAATCGTAAAATCATAATTGGAAAATGTATCAAAAGTAGAAGATGAATCAAAGTAATAAATAGTTTTTTTACAATTGAACGGAAATCGAAAAAGGTATTAAAGAAAAAATTCACAAATTAATGCTAATCATTAGTAGGTTAATAAACATATGTTCAAATATTGTATTGTAACAATTATGAGATTATTATCATTTAATCACTAACGAAACTCTTTCCTTTATCGAATATGTTATTGTAAAATTCTCACGAATGCTTTCAATCTCAAATAACAAAATATCAATGTTAAATATAATTTGTTCTAAATTGTAATTTAAAATCGAAACACGATTATACGATCCTCACTGTCGACAACATTCTCAGATCGTAGATAGATTTCGAATCATTTGTATTCAATTATCTATATTATCTCGAAAGAAAGAAAACGAAAAACTTTCTTATCTCCCTTCAATTATTCGCATACCTCAGAAGAGATTTGCTTTATGCATAATACAAACAGTTCTTTTCCCCGTCAAACGCGCGTGTAAATGCACGTGTCCCGATAACAGAGGGTCCTCCTCTCGTTGCGCAACGAGTCGAAAAGCAAACGGATGAGTAATACATACACAAGCCGTGAACTGACCACCGCTAGATTGTGCTGGTCATGGTTGTTTCGACTCCTCCCCCTCACACTCTCTCCTTCTTTCTTACTTGCTATCCTGCCTTCTTTCTCTTATTTTATCACGACCTTCCCTCGCTCTCACTCTCTCTCTTTCTCTCTTCTCTCTCTCTCTCTCCTTGACAGAGTGTAACCCCCTTTGTCCCCCCTCCTTTCAGAGAACGGTCCTTCCTTTCGTGGATCGAAAAAGGAGGAAAGAAAGAGAGATGGGGGAGAGAGATAGCGAGCGAGGGGTCAAGGGAGAGGGTGGACGACCCGAGAAAAGAGGGAAAACGAGAACGAAGAGTCCGAGAGGGAAAGTTGCGAGGGTGGGTGATAAATTGATAGTGGACGTGCGCCACGCGCCCCTTCTCCCCAGGCCAACAGACCGACAGACCAGCAGACCGAATGACACCCTCACCCCGATCAACTGCCCCCGACTGTTGATACTCTTCCTCGACTGGAATTAAATGATCAACGCGGTCGTTCGGTCGCATAAGTTATCGCGTCGTTACACAACCGTGTATGCATTTGACGAATCTGAGAATTATATTCTTCCGCTTAGTTAGCGATCTCGATACACTTGAGTGGAATTTTAGACACGTTTGTTGACAATTTTTCTCTCTCTGTCTCGTTCATACCACGAGTGTAATAATACACTCGTGCATAGAACGTGTACAGAGTGGAAGAAGGTATAAGATATATCGTTTATCGTCAAGCTGTTGCGCGATCTGACTTTTTAAAGACTTCAACTAATTTGTGTGTTGAAAATAATTAATCGAACGAGCAGTTCTTCCTATGCAGTAGTACTAAATGCGATACAATAAAAATAGACATATCAATTGCGTTGCTGGAGATATCATATGATCTGTTCAAGAGGTACACTTTGACATCAGTTAAAAAGACTAAATGGATAGTCTATCTGATTTCTGGGAATTTAACTTGAAAGAAAGGGAGAAATGAATGTAAATTAGATAAGGGATTGAACAAATTTCTTTCAACAATTTATCTGATTATATTGAGGTTTCAAAGATTGGTGGAGATAATGGGTATATATATATATATATGCATATAATTTTAATGAGATTATGATTACGAAGAATATAGATCATTATTTCTCACACGAGATTTTCGCAATGATCAAGATATAATCGAGATGTAATATTCTATTACATTGTACAATAAATTGAACAAGATAATTACAAGAATTTTTTCCATCTAACAATCTGGATAACAAATTTCATTACTGGTTAAAATATTAAGAATCATTAACAATTTTCTGACAAAAGTCATACCTAAAAGTTGCGTTATACCTAAAAGCTAAAGTTTATAAGAGGAAAGGATGAGGTTGAACGGGACCAGAGAGAGAGAGAGAAAGAGAGAGAAAGTGGTTGGCAAATCTGAAACCCAAGTTTCTGACCTTCTTTGACTTATTTACATAATGTATCCCCGAATATAAACGTATCATACATAAGAAAATCATTATATGTCTAAACACGTTTCACACCTCGTTAATTTAATGAAAATTCCAATTATTATATTATAACATTGAAATATTGAATGATTCTCTTAACAGAGGAATTAGAAAATAGAATCGAACAATCGTTATAAGTTATCCCTAACTATCCCTCTATAATTATTATTCCTTTTAAAATTTAAATATTTCCTCGACGTAATCTAAAATTCTCTTACTTTTTTTTTTTTTATTCAATCCCTTCGATCGTATTCTACTTTATTACAACAACAAGTATTAAATCTTTCATCCTGCAAACACAAAGATATCAGAGTTAATATCACCGAACAAGATTGCACAGGATTCCATACGATTTCATATACACAATCAACGACTAGCCTCCTACCTAGGGAAGGCTAATTAATCTCAAATAATTGCATAACTAAATAAATTTCAACCACGTATTTCACTTTTCTCCCATCTTTTCCCAATCTGGCCGCCCCCTCCCTTCAAAAGGAAAAGGAATACGGATTAAAAAGGAATAAATACACAGAGGCAAAATATTGGACTTACCCGCCAAGTAGTAACCAGAGACTGGTCGGTGAAATGTCGGATGCGACCTCCGTTTTAATCAGTACGAATCCGAGTTATTAAAATTCCTGCAGAATTTTCGCGGTTGAATAGAACGGGCGCAGTCGAGGAGCGGCGCGAAGGATCGCTTCGAAGCAGCCAGAAAGCAGCGATGTCTGAAAGAAAAAGAAGTTCATTCATTCCAGTGGACGAAATACATATATATATATATATAAAGTGAAAGATCGGCCACGTCGAACAAGAATATCGAAAAACTAAAAAAAGAGAGAGAGAAAAAAAGAAAACGTTAATTTATTCAATAGCAAAGAAGCATGAAGACACGAGGAGAAGAAGAGTACTGCACCCTAAGAGATGAGGCCGTGAAACGAGGAAGAACAGAGAGTGGAACTCCGACTCGAGGAAGGCCGACTGAGCAAGGACTTTCGTTAGGGTCTGCTCGAGCAGGGGGCGGGGAGGGTGGTGGTTTCAACCGAGAGGAGAGAGGATACCGATGATGAAGGGGGTGAAGGGACTTTGGAGTCAAACGAAAGCCTCCGGCAGTTTTTCCACCGGTTCTCCAACTCTTGAGTTTCTCGCAAGTTTTTTCTTCTGATTTTTCTAATTAATTATCGGTATTGATTGGTTCTCGATTTGACTGAGGAACGCCTTTGGCTACACAGAGAGGAGATGGAAATGACCGCATAGAATAACCGTGAAAGAGAGGAGAAGCCAAGCGAATTAACTGTCCATAATTTGCCCGGGAGTCGTGATTAAAGAGTGGCTTTTACACCGAAAAGTCGGACGATTTTTTTCGATATCTATTCTTCCATACTTTGTGAAGAGGATCATAACCTCCTCGCTTTCTGCCAAACCTTTTCGCGACTTGCACCATTCCATTTCCGTATCGTGATCGATACACGTCGATTCCAATGTAACGTGGAGATTGTGATATTTAAATAAACTGGTTACGATATTGGCGTAGGTGTTGCTGTAGATACAAGTTTCGAAATGTTTACGCAGAGCGATCAATTACGTTGCGATTTTCGTGTCCATACTGAAATTCTCCTTACTGTTTCCTTTTAAATCGAGTCAAAAAGTTAAAAGTTCTTGCGAATTCATCTTGCGAAAAAGAAGATAGATTACCTTCGAACGACTCCACTCTAAAATGAATTGGAAAAATGCAACAATCATTGGAAACAAAAATACGTATCTTAGAAACATACCATATAGAGTATTTCTTATAAATACTCTATTTTAGAATCAAATCGACCAATTATCCTCCCACGTTTTATTTGTCGATTACAATTTCGATTACGAAAAAAGATGTAAAAGACGACGCCAAGGAATCCAGAATTCAACCGAAAGTAGAACGATTATTTCGATCCTCCTTGAAAGCTCTCCCTCCCTCACCCGTTTCATCACTCCCATAGCCGGGACAATGGGAAATAAAGCAAAATCCAGTGCAGAGCGGGCTGTCCGCAGAACCGACGATTAACCATTCACGACTTTTTCCTCAAATCCATCTAGCCGCGAGTGGAAGTTTCTCGGAAGGTGGTCAGTACGTTGTAAGACGGAGGATTGATTGCCTCCGAGGTTTCACGATGAAGCGGCGGCAAGAGAGAGAGAGAGAGAGGATGGAAGAAGGAAGCGGGAGAGACGGCGACGGAAGAGTGGAGAAGCGGGGGTAAAACGACGAAAGGGGGTGAGTCAAGGGTGAACCGTAAGGGCTGAGAATGCGGCCAAAGTACGTGAGCGGGGCGGGATGACTTGTGGTTGTGTGTCGCAAGATAGGGTTGCTATATACCACGCGCTCTGTCCTGCGTCCGTCGGTCCGTTTCTCGTCCGTTCCTAACCACTTCCCTCCTATCCTCTTCCTTGAAGGTCCTTTCCAAGACTGCCCTAGGACGGAGGAGAGGATGGACGAGGCGGTGGTCGAGGGTGGGTTGCGGGGGAGGATGTTCTTGCACTTCGAACCCGTTAGTTGTGTGTGCACTACCGGTGAAATTGTGTGTGAACCCGCACGTGGCTTCACCTACGGTGTCGCGGACCCTGTGTGCGCCAAATGCTGGCCAAGGAATTACGCACACCCTCGCCATTTATTTCGAATAAGAGCGTTAACGCCGCTTGATCTATCAGGTGTTGCTGTTTCGAACGCGCGACTTGCTTCCATCAACTTGCTCGTTCCACGCTGTGTGTGTGGAATTTCGCGAAATTTTGTTTCGATCTAATAAAGCTTCGCGTGCCGACTTATGTAAATGGAACGGTTTGAAGCGTGCCCCGCCGCTCCATGATCGAATGATTTAAGAGGATTCATGAAACCATTCGATGGTATCGGATGTGCAAGTAAATAAATCGGTCCACGAAAAGATTCTCTCGAACAATATTTGTACGTTCAAGCGAAAAATTATATCTTACGTATACAATATATGTATAAACATTGCAAAGCAGTTATTCGATGTTCAGTGATTCATATATCTTCGTCGACGAAGAAATAAGAATTTTCGGTGTACGATGAAGAGGGTCGTATAAGATTCTCGCATGGGCTGTTACGAACGAATGGAAGTTCACTTTACAGGATGACACCCGTTAAATGCCGTAGCTCGCTATAGGGACCATCGGACAAGGCATGTAAGGAACTTGGATATACACGTACAAGGCCTTTTGAGAAGGTGTGTGCGAGCACACCCGCACGCATACCACGCTGCGCGAAATCTCACGACAAATACACACATGTGAGAAGCACAATAATTACTATAGGTAGTATAAGGAGGAGGGGTGCCCCGCGGGGTGGTTGGCCAGCAATCGATATATACACACACGCATAGGGGACACGCGTACACACACATAGAGGTGGCGGTGTGAACACACGCAGGAGGCGAGTGCGCACACCGTTACACGGTTTACATAAGTGAAGTTCCTTGGCCACCACCCTCAGTCACCACCTCTTATATACCCCCTTCCAGTCAAAGCCACCCTCTCTATCCTCCCACGCTACCCTGGCCCTCTTCCTCCTGCTTTCTGCCCAAGCGTTTCTAATTTGCATTCCCCTCCGTTTGCACTCCTCACCCCTTCACGCGCTCTCTCTCCTTCGCTCGCGCCGACCTCTCTCGCTCCCTCCTCCTCCACTTTCTCTCCTTCCGTCCTTCTCTCTCTCCCCCCTCTTCCTCCTCCTCTCGCGCCTCTCTCTCTCTCTCTCTCTCTCTCGCGCGCGCATCGCTTGCTCGATCCCCCGTTTCAACCACCTCCGCCTTCTTCTCATCCTACACCTTCAAGCCATCCACCCAACAACCCCGTTGTCCGTCTTGCGAGGTTTCACGCACACGCGTGTCTTTCGTCCGTGTAGCACGCATACGGATGGGAAAGAGGGAGGGTGAAGGGGCGAGACAAAGAGACCACCCTTAACTTGGGGCCAGGGAGTAAGACGGCCACGGGGTGTGGGAGGATGAGGATCGGTCCAGGGCTGCTGCAGTTAGGTTAGGGCTTGCCTGTACCTTCTTAATACCTTTCGTCGGGCTGGCTTGTATACCTATACGCTTTGGATCTTGATCGTTAAAGGTAGCGGGGCGATCTGTCTCTTATATAACTTCCACGGACACCCTTGATCTGTTCTAATCATATTTTCCGTTGGAAAGATGCTTTTACCCACGGGACACGGGTTTTGATTAGTCTGCGGGAAACGAAGATTGTATCGATAATTCTATACCGATGCGTGATGCGTCTCGAATTTGATTCGATCGTTGCGCCTCGTAATATTCGTTTGCAGTTGCAGAACGGCGAAGTCACTCGAGTTCGAATTTACAACAATTTGTTGTTTCTCCCTTTCTTCTTCTTCTTCTTCTTCTTTTTTTCACGCCAAGTCGTCCAGTATTATAAATGTATTAGCCGGCAAGTTTAGTGGCAAAAGTTTGCTCTCTACACTATAGAACACTCTGTCCTATATAGCGATCCGTTCGATCCTTTCCACCTTAACTTGAGATTTATGTTTGCATAAATTAGACATGCTGGTAATCTGAATTATCGTGAAACAACTTGTTACAATTTTTCGAATCGAACTGTTGCTCCTGACGTATCGTCCATTGCCGATTTATACCCTTTGCGAGAAACGAAACCTCGGGGTTGAACGAACGTGAGAAATAAAATTGCCGAAAAATTTTTCCTCGAGAAGCAGGTAATCCTATTAACAAGACCAATAATTGACGCGTGTCCAAGTGGAAAAAGAAAAAAGTAGAGAGAGCCGACCACGAAGAGGATCTCTATCTAATTAAAGCAACCGATACGAGCGGCAACATCGACCGAAACTACGAAGCCTTGAACAATGGTAGCAATGGAGATAAAGAAGGGTCGTGGTGGGCATAATTCCAAAGTGTGTTAAGAGATCCGACTGACTGACGTATCTGTCAGGGATGGATGGCAGTAAGGGTTACGAGCATCACTCATCAGTAGCGGCCATATTGCCTGCCTGTACCCCCAACCTTCGCGAGGAGCGCGAGCCTTGATAATTCCCCGACCCCCTTCGCTTTCCATCTCCCTTTCTTTTCCCTCTTCTTCCCTCGCTTTCGCTCGCCTGCTCACCCTTGGTGCCTTAGTCTTACCGGTTTCTTCTCCTTTTCTCCCTTCTTCTTCCAGCAACGCTTCTTCTTCTTATTTAAACCCCCAGCGCGCGGTGCCCGGGCTGCTTAATGAGAACCTCCACCTCTTCGTACCACCACCACCATCGCCGCCACCACCACCGCCGCCGCCTCCACCACTCTCGCCCCCCTCTGGTCGCCTGCCCGTTCTCCACCACCCTCCCCCGGTTTCAACCAGTAACGTGGGGTTCACCCAACTCCCAGCGTCGAGCTATGACCCCTACACGCGGCCATCCTGCCACACACGCGAGACACATTTTAAGACTTTTAATATTGATTACACGCCGTCGAGATGAACGCCTTTGTCTTGGCAACAATGATGATCAACACGCGCCTCGGATCTTCCGGTTCTCGCCCTTCCTCGAGGCGTTAAGGAGAGAGAGAGAGAGAGAGAGAGAGAGAGAGAGAGAGAGAGAGAGAGAGAGCGAC